GTTTCCCTTGCACTGTGACACTGTTTTCCTGTAGTTCGGGCTTGGTGAACTTGCGTTCATGCTCTCTCGCTGCTTTTCCATGTGTACGTGTTTGTGCTGTGCCTGGCAAGAATGCCGAGAATAGCTTCTGCCCCCCCCTCCCTCAGCTCCTGGGTACGACCTATTATCGGTACGTGTGTGTGACGGCAAGATTTGGAATATTTCCGCCGAATTTTGCAGGCAAAGATTTCTTTTTTTATTATTATTTTGGCTTTGATTTCCCTAACAAGTCGACTCTGTCTTGATGCTCACAACTTAACTCCCTGCTCATTCCCTTTTCTTGGTTGTACTGAGGCTGAAACTGTCGAAAGTGCTGCTCGACTGACACCAGCACTGAGCAGCCCATACGTTTAAAAAACACCTTTGATGGATGCTTGCTGGTTGGGTGCTGCACGGTCGATGGTTTAATTAGTGCATGGCTCTTGGACATCCTTTGAAGTTCGAGCACCGGTACTGGTATCCATTGATGGATATTTTAATAATAATTTACAATAATCGATCTGATGGTGCCTACAAAAGACAGCATAATTAATAAGACATGTATATATAACGAGGAAGTAAATCTAACGTTTTAACGGATGACATTTCTTCGTTATAATAAGATTCGTTCAGGCTGTAATGCTTCATATATAATAATATTGTGCGTGGATAGGCTTGAATACTGCAAGATCGTTAACATATCGTCTCGTTAACCTATGAATTTTGGACAATCGTTAAATTTGCGACTCGTTATAATAACATGTCTTACAGTATGTACAATAAGTTGAATACATGTGCATGATTGTACTACTACTACTAGTACTACTAGCAAGAGTAGATAAACAAGAGTGTGCAACTCCGGATCTCTCCTGCACAATCTGCAGATACCCCGCGCCCACGGCGGAATTTTTTGTTTACGTCACCTTTTTTCAGAGAAACGCGGCTTTGCCGCAGAGCAGTGTGAGAGCACGTGCTGGGCACCGACCTTGTAGTGTAAAGCCCAGCCAAGTGCACGAGGGAAAACTCTCCAAAAGGCTCGCAGCGCGTGCGTCGTCGAAAAGATTACGTCAACAAAAAATTCCGCCGTGGGCCAATCCATCCGGAGTTGCACACTCTTGTTTATCTACTCTTGCTACTAGTATATACAGAAGCCTTGCTTGGTAGTTAAAGGGGAAGTATACCCTAAAATCAAATTTTCACCAGTTGTAGTCTTCTGGGTGCTGAGTCGAATGGTCTTGGTCCGAGGAAGCTGCGACGCTCCCTTCCTACTTGAATCCCAATCGAACTCGCGCACTTCCACCGAAACTGGGTGACTGCGCCCTACTAGATGGGGATTTGTATGCAAAATCTCACTAAAAGCGCCATTTCGTTCTTATAAAAGCACGGATCACCGCGATTGGCCCATATGTTGTAGTCTTTTGGACGCTGAGTCGACTGGTTTTGGTCCGAAAAGGCTGCGATGCAGCGTTCCTCCTTTATTCCCAATCGAACATGGTTGAACAAGCGGTCACGTGCTCCTGCGTACACCAGTCACCTGGTCACCGTGCCTGCAGGGTACAACTTACTAGCCTGTTTGACCTTTTTTGGGTGCAGTCCTGTCACTCGAGTTGAACTCGAGTTGAACCTTGGTGTGAAAGTTGTCACCTGCTGGCGCGGTGACCAGGTGATTTGGGCACCCAGGAGCACGTGACCACTTGTTCAACCATGTTCGATTGGGAATAAAGGAGGAACGCTGCATCGCAGCCTTTTCGGACCAAAACCAGTCGACTCAGCGTCCAAAAGACTACAACATATGGGCCAATCGCGGTCATCCGTGCTTTTCTAAGAACGAAATGGCGCTTTTAGTGACATTTTGCATACAAATCCCCATCTAGTAGGGCGCAGTCACCCAGTTTCGGTGGAAGTGCGCGAGTTCGATTGGGATTCAAGTAGGAAGGGAGCGTCGCAGCTTCCTCGGACCAAGACCATTCGACTCAGCACCCAGAAGACTACAACTGGTGAAAATTTGATTTTAGGGTATACTTCCCCTTTAACATGTTTTTCGATTTTGGTTGTAGTCAGGAGCACTACGCGTCCTCGCCTTGTAACATGCTGTCAAAATCGAAAAACATAGTACTACTAGTGTACTACTACTAGTAGCAAGAGTGCTAGTAGTAGTAGCAAGAGTAGATAAAGAGTAGTGTTTATCTACTCTTGGTAGTAGTAGTAGTAGTAGTAGCTCACAAGTCTGGCAAAAGAATGAAAGCACTACAGTGTCCACGGGAGAAAATCTGAAATGCAACCACCGGCCATGGCCATATGGATCAACATGCACAACCAACGATAATTACCATGAATTACAGTACTGTCAGTAATCAGTATACTGAGTACATGTACAGTACAGACTGTCAGTCTGTACACCAATGGTACACAGTCCATTTCAAAACTATAGACGCGTAGGGTTTTTGAAATATTTCAAATTTGGCTGGAACTTTTTGAGAATAGTTTTCGGAATATTGCTCAGGACCGCTCCACAATTACTCTCATAATTCTCTGTTTTTATGTGGTATAGATGCTGGCATAACGGTTTTTGCCTAGGTACACGTCTAGACTATAGTTTTGAAATGTAGTAGTTTCTCGCTTGCGCTCGATTTGAGGAAAACAGAAAATGCCTTGCATTTTTTTAGTCACCTCGTGCACGCGTGACGTGTTCGTGGAAGTCACGAGACTGCATAGAATCTACCAGCGCAAAAAATCATTCAGACGTCGCGCGGGGGTTGCTTTTCTTGATTTGTTTTCACTTTTGAGACTGTTGAATGTCAGATTATGTTCTTCGAATCGAAATCCTGTCGTTGTATCTGTTTGGTTGGTTTTGTTGCAAGCATGGTGTAGACCAATGTGCTGTTAGTTCTTGAAGGATCTGATCTGCTGAGCATCGTACGGAGGATAGCCGAACTAGGCACACGCCGCATCTATACCGCACCTGGGATTCAGGTGTCTGAAATCGAGTGTTGGAATTACTCCGCTGCCAGAATGCTGCCATCATTGGTGGTTTTGGCTGGCGTCCTGGCGCTGGGAGCAAGCCACGCGCAAGGTAAGGATTATCCTCTGTCACTGCTGCTGCTGCTGCTGCTGCTGCTCCGGCCGCTGTATGTGGACTCCGGACCCGTAGTCCCGTATACATGTAACACACTGCAGTCTAGACCTTCACCATTCCTGTCCACCATTCCTGTCCACCATTCCTGTGCACAAGCAGCCCAGCTGCCGGCTTGGTTTATTCAATGTTTGACCACTGCATTGTATTGTTTATTTACGGATTCTCCAGAGGTAAATCAATGGATACCTATCATGGGAGTCTCTCCAGACCAATAGAATAATGAAAAATAGAAGGAATATTAAAGACTCAAATAAAATCTGAGAATTAAAATCAAAGGAGAGGAAGAATATCTATAGATTAGAACCAGAGATGCTAATAGAACACTGGAAAGACATTAAAACAAGAGTAACTGGGGTACAGAAGAGCAGTGTGTCTGATCTACTCATCTCTATTCCTTGATGAGCATGTCAGACGCCTTGATCTTTTGGGGTTGCACGGAAAAGTCACTCTGGAATGCACTTGTCTTTAGTATTATTTTGATGACGACCATTTGTGTCACTGTAAACCTTTATGCTACACGAGTTGACCAGTATAATGTGTGTTTGTGGCGTGTGGCGTGTGTATGTGTGGCGCGCGCGTGTGTGTGTGTGCGTGGCGTGTGTGTGTGTGTGTGTGTGTGTGTGCGCGCGCGCTTGCCCGTGTGAGTGTGCGTGTGTGTCATGTGTACATGCACCTGTATGTGCGCATGTGTTTTGTGCGTATGCACACGTTTTCTGTGTGTGCGCATGTGTGTGTGTGTGTGTGTGTGTGTGTGTGTGTGTTTGCATGCGAATGTGCGTGCGTGTGCATCTGCAATTAGCATCGCCGGGCTTCGGCGTATCTAGTGCCGACAAAGTCAAGATCGGCCAGGACACAAGCTTTGAAGTGTCATGGCAGTAAGTGTGTAATATAAGTACTTGACAGTGAGTGTGTAATATCAAGAGTACATAAACCCCCGGGGTTATGTACTCTTGTTGATATAAGATTAAAGGGGAAGTGCATCGATTTTTCAAGTAGGGCTCAGATGAAAGACAATTGGATATCGGTTCCGATGGTATATCTCTCGCTTGCGTACGGCAAGGGAAACTTGCCATATCGCCGATTTCCTGATCCCGTTTCCATGGCGACTACAGGTGATGACGCACATTCTGCTTAGCTCCGTGAGAGAGAAGGTCGATCACTGCAGAATTGTGGCATTTTCAGTTGTCTTCTTGTATTCACGAAGTGAAAGAAGTACTGTGTTCAATGCTGTTAGTGCCGTGAACTGTTTATCAGTAGTCCTCTCCGTTGTGTACTGGGACGTGACACCGACAGGGGAAAGCTGGAGTGCGGAGACGTTAGCTGGCAAGCGAAAATCGTGACGAACCAAGTGCTGAAATCTTGGTTGGGACAAATCAAACGTTCAGCATTTACCTCAACCAAGGACCTTGCCGTTTGCTCTTTCCACTTCCTGAAGATGGATGCGCTGCCTGCTGAAGACTCTCCTATCTCTCGTAACATCTTCTGAAGCCAGGTGAGACGACGAGTAGCGGAGATTAGCGAACGAAATAATGTCGTATGTTTTGAAATTTTTGCTGAACATTTCTCAGGAGAGATGGCGAATACCAAGCATCTTCTCCTAGTCTAGAGAAACCATTTCGTAGGCTACATTCCGCCTAGGGAAATGCAGGAGACGGCCTGGCTGGGGAGGACACACTTGGAGGAGAACGAAGTAAGTGATCTTGTTAATGTTGTTCTTTGGTATTGCAATCTTACGTTTGACGAACATACGGCATGGTGCATAGTTGGTCGTTGAGTGCCTGCATGTGCATGTAGAAGTGTGTGCTGATAAACACTTCCTATGCAAGAATGTGACACTCATGCTCTCTTTCTTTCTTGCAGTATGTGCTCACGTGTGTGTGTGTGTGTATGTGTGTGTGTGTGTGTGTGTGAGCGAGAGAGAGTGTGCAGGAGCAGCGTGGAGCATGCCAGTGTGATCGCTGTGGCCGTTGCTTTCTTAGCTATGGCGTTCTTGCCCGTCACAAGTGTGTGGCTCAGCCCCCGACGACAGTGGAGCCGTGTTGTGGTGAATACTGTGTGTCCTGCGACCGCTGCTTCCGTTCGGTCCAGGGCAGGAATAGACACCGCTGCTGAAGCTCTCCGCGGCCGTACGTCAGTCTCGTGGCAGATGACCCGAACTCTCATTGTGTGTGTGTGTGTGTGTGTGTGTGTGTGTGCATGTGTATGTATGTATGTGTGTTGCTCCCTACATAGACAAACTCTTGTTTTTGTGTCCCGGGTGCCATGGGGCGGCGTTCTCCCATTCTCTCTCCACTGCCCCTCCGGGCCCACGTGGCAGTGACTCGACAGGGCAGGGCAAGTGTGTGTATGGTGCATGGTGTGTGCTGGCATGTCTGTATAAATATGTTGGACAGGAATTTGTTCACCCACAACGTTCACGGGAAACCATGCTAGGTGTTGCTGGGACGTATGGAGTCTGCGAGCACTTACAATAACTTACGTCATGTCACGACAAAGAACGGTGCAGTGTTTGACCCTCATGTAAACATGATGGTGATGGTACCTCACCTAAGCTACCCATGAAGCTAGAAAGAACATCAGGTGAACAGAATTATACCAGAGGAAAGCATCTATTGCCCGAACTTCTTCATATGAAATGAATAATACCCTTCTCCATAGAGACAACATGCAGATGAAGTGTATGGACAAATAATATAATATATTATTTGTATAAATAGGCCATTCACTGAGGGCATGGAATGATCTCTACGTGTAGATTGGATAGACACATGCACGTCTGCAAGGAAAGCATTTGTTCATGGGTTAGTTCATGGGCTGATTGAGTTCACATGGACTAAGTTCATACATGCCATCTCTCCTGAGATATGTTCAGCAAAAATTTCAAAACATACATTATTTCGTTCGCTAATCTCCGCTACTCGTCGTCTCACCTGGCTTCAGAAGATGTTACGAGAGATAGGAGAGTCTCCAGCAGGCAGCGCATCCATCTTCAGGAAGTGGAAAGAGCAAACGGCATGGTCCTTGGTTGAGGTAAATGCTGAACGTTTGATTTGTCCCAACCAAGATTTCAGCACTTGGTTCGTCACGATTTTCGTTTGCCAGCTAATGTCTCCGCACTCCAGCTTTCCCCTGTCGGTGTCACGTCCCAGTACACAACGGAGAGGACTACTAATAAACAGTTCACGGCACTAACAGCATTGAACACAGTACTTCTTTCACTTCGTGAATACAAGAAGACAACTGAAAATGCCACAATTCTGCAGTGATCGACCTTCTCTCTCACGGAGCTAAGCAGAATGTGCGTCATCACCTGTAGTCGCCATGGAAACGGGATCAGGAAATCGGCGATATGGCAAGTTTCCCTTGCCGTACGCAAGCGAGAGATATACCATCGGAACCGATATCCAATTGTCTTTCATCTGAGCCCTACTTGAAAAATCGATGCACTTCCCCTTTAACTACAATGATTGTATACTACAGTCCATTTCAAAAATATAGACGCATGCTATTTTTGAAATATTTCAAATTTGCCTGCAGCTTCTCGATTTTTAAGCGATCAGATAACAAACACCCAATTTCGAAATTTTTGTGCACAAAGTGATCACAGATTTTATGTGATATAGGTGCTGGCCTAACGGTTTTTGAAATCACGCGTCTATATTTTTGAAACACACTGTAGTACAATGTATCCTGAATTTGATGACGTCTAGAAACCTGGCTCTTTCGCCATAATATTATTTGTTAGGCGCATAGCTCGTGTATAGTCAGCATAGTCTGGTCAGCACACCAGCAAATAGTCGCCATAGGTACTGCATAGTCAAAATGGCGGCTATGAGGTTGCGGGTGGTACATGGTCACCACACCACAGAGGTGTGCTCCGGTACATGGTCACCACAGCACAGATGTACTCTGGTACATAGTCACCACACCACAGATATGCTCTGGTACATAGTCGCCACACCACAGATATACTCTGGTACATGGTCACTACACCACAGATATACTCTGGTACAGGGTCACCACACCACAGGTGTGTGAGCTACGCCCCTGGTTGTGGCGTGTGTGTGTATGTATGTGTGTGTGTGTGTGTGTGTGTGTGTGTGTGTGTGTGTGTGTGTGTGTGTGTGTGTGTGTGTGTGTGTGTGTGTGTGTGTGTGTGTGTGTGATCCACACAGCTTCATGTGTGACTAGCTGGTGTGGGGGTGACACCGTTGCGTATGACCACTGGTCCTCAACGCTTGTTCTACACACCCATGCCTGACACTGACTCTCATGATCTGTCTGGTCTCTCTCACTCACTCTCTCTCTCTCTCTCACTCTCTCTCTCTCTCTCTCTCTCTCTCTCT